GCCGGGACCGCTGCAAACCCAGCGGCGCGGCAAAGCGCTCGCGGGCAGGCGGGCGGGCCGGCCGGCGGACCCCGGAGGAAGGGCTGGGGGAGGCTGGTCTCCCTCGGCTGCTGGGTGGTGTGCGCGGCGGGACGCTGCTGCGTGCGCTCTGCGGAGCGGGAATCAAGTATGTGGAATTGGTGCCTAGCCTGGCTGCCATGGGTTCCAGGCCGTGCTGCTGTGGCCCACAAGTAGTCCAGCTGAAGAAGACCCGTTGAACTGGTTCTTCTCAGGGTAACGTGTCCTCCCCACCCCTGCTTCCGCTGGCTCGGGACCCCGGGGTATCTGTCAGCCCAGCCTTCTCCGACGCTGGCGGTGCTCAGGCCCGTAGGGCAGGCCTCTGCGAGGTGTGTGGGGGCTTCCTCAGGAGCGGAATCTCCTCTCCACCTCCCGGGCTCCCTCGAAAGGGCCGCCCCGCCTGCCTGCAGGCCTTTTCAGAGCCAGCCTGTGCGACTGGTTGCCCTAAGGATTGTGCTTTTCCATGCGGTCTTTACTGCTGTAGAAATCGAGCCACTCCATGTTTACACAACAAAGTCGAGAGAAAGAACGTGCTATGTGTAATTTAGCAAAGTACTATGTGTTAGATTTCTTAAGTTGAAATAATTCAGTCTTTAATGTCTCTTTAAAAAATAATTTTTTATTTTTCAATTAGAGTTGACATACAATATTATATTGGTTTCAGCTATACACCCCAGTGATTATATAGCTAAGTGATCTTCCCGATAAATCCAGTACCCATCTGACACCATATATAGTTATTACAATGTTATTGACTATATTCCCTATGCTGTACTTTACCTCCCCATGACTATTCTGTAATAACCGATTTGTACTTCTTAGTCCCGTTGATATTGGACCAAGTTGGGGGGTCCTCTTCCCCACTATGTGCTGCTGGGGGTGGACTTCTTACGATATTCCAAGAAAAATAATATTCTGAGACTCACACAGTAAAACAAGTGAATTTTATTTGCGTGGAATTAAATTCCTGTGTTTTTAAAGTCCCATTTTCCTTAGTCCAGTCATAGAAGTAGTGTAGCGAGGGTTTCAGAAGCAAAGCCAGTGTCGTTTCGTTGGTTTCCGTGTTGGAGACAGGCCTAGTCCAGCATCAGGCTAGCTGCAGTCCATTAATCCATTGTGTGTGGGGGTCTGTATGTCTGTGGGCCACACAGGAGAATGTCAGGAAGCGAAGAGGAACCAAGAGAGTAGGGGATTATATATCCCAAATTTTCAGGTGCTTGCATTGGCCCCACCCATTCTGGCCATTGACCTCTATTCCCAGGTGTGACTGACAGTAAGCACCTTCCCTAGTTATCTCAACTTTAGTGGGCATGCGTATATCTTCCCTTTGTCCAGTTCCCTTCCCCCCGTGTCTTGAGGGAGCTTGCCTATCATGCCTGGCCTTTCCTTTGCTCCTTTTCTGATATTAATACTTATCTAATTACAGTGGTATTACCACCTTTTTTACCAGTCCCCCCCAACCCCTCTCACCCATCTGGCAACCATCAAAATGGTCTCTGTATCTATGAGTCTGTTTCTTTTCTGCTTCTTCCAGGATAGGAGTTTGTGTAAATTCTTGATTACTTAAGTGAAATGTGAAGCAAGGTCATAAGCTGAGAGTGAGGATAGGGGAAGAGAGATGATAGGTTTAAGTAGAGAGGAGGAGGTGTGAAATAGGAGGGGAGGATCGTAAATAGATTAGTGGAAAGTTGTAGAATTGTTAGGAAGACTAAGGACCCACTTGAAGTTAGTGGTCACAAATTGAAGGTGAGATCAGTCATCTTGGTTGTGTTTTTCACCTACATTCTTTCACCTGCATAGTTATAGGCACAGAGTTGGCAGAGAACTTGTTTTTAATCCAGGTTAGAGCTTTGCCAAGAGAGAATAATGAAGCCAGAGATGGGCTGTGAGGTGAAGGGAATATGCAATGAAATGGTTACAACTTTTTAATTTAAACCAGTCAAGGGAAAGATGACTGGATATAGAAGATGTAGTACATATATATAATGGAATATTACTTGGCCATAAAAAGAATGAAATCTTACCATTTGCAAAAACATAGGTGGACTTAGAGGGTGTTATGCTAAGTGAAGTCAGAGAAGGACAAATACCGTATGATTTAACTTATATGTGGAATCTAAAGAACAAAATAAACAAAATAGAAACAGATTCATAGATACAGAGAGCAGACTGATGGTTTCCAGAGGGGAGGGGGTTGGGGGGCTGTCTGAAAAAGTGAGGGGATTAAGAAGTACAAATTGGTAGTTACAAAATAGTTCCAGGATGTAAAGTACAGCATAAGGAATATAGTCAATAATATTGTAATAACAATGTATGGTTCTAGGTGGGTACTAGACATATCAGGGGATTAATTTTTAAATTATATAAATGTCTAACCATTATGCTATATACCTGAAACTAATATAAAATAATATTAAATTGGGGGAAAAAAAGAAAAACAACTCGTCAGGGAGGAAATAAAGACTACCTAGGGTGAGCAGAGTGAAAAGGTACTAGGATCATTGGAGTATGGGTCCCAGTTGGGTCAAAAGATTGTTTGAGTTGCGTTCCTAGAGGGAATGAACTTGAAAAATAGGAGATGTTGATTGGAGAGCAAGATTATTGGAAATGAGATTATGGAAGGATTCAGTCACTGGTAGTGATACGATATCCTCATGAACAAATGAGTGGAGCAAGGTGTAGGTAAGATTATTGGAGGAAAACTAGTCAGAAAACAGAAACTATCTTCCTCAGATATTGTGCATCAAAGGTTGTGACCCACTAGATAAGTAAAGGGAGAAAAGAGATAGGATATATATATAAATGGCTATAATACTGATGGTGATGGTGATGATAATGGTCCCTTAACACCCAAGTCATTTACCATCAACCTGATCTATACCTAACACTGGAAAGTTAGGTGTTGAGTTACATATGGTTATATGGTAACTCATAGTCAACCCATAAGCCCTTCATGGACTTTTGTCCTTTGACCAAAGTATTCTCGTAAGAGTGGCAGGTGACATAAAGCATCTTTCCTTAGCTGTCAGCTTGAAATTTTTCACCAAAGGCTTATAATGCAGCTCCTATAGAAGTTTTTTGGTTTTCTGTGTAGGCTTCTTTGTTTGCTTATTTCTCAGAGATGTGAATAATTTATTGGTGAGAAGGTAGGCAGAGAAGGATTACTCTATGACCTAATAATTTCATATCTAGAAATCTATCCTATGGAAATAATATGAATATCTAAAAGTACACACAAGGATGTTCATTGAATATTATTTGTGATAAAATTTTCAGCAACCTGTCATCAGTAGGGAATAGTTAATATTCAATAGGAATATCAGTATCAA